CTCCACCACCCCACCGCCCCTTCATCCTTCGAACCCCCACCTTCCTCCCCCGAACCCTCCCACCTCACTGCCTTCTTGCATTTCACTCGAAGTCGTGCTGCTGGCAGCTTGGACCTGCCCTCCCTGTTCCCCGTTGGTGGTCACTTTTTATTTACAAGTAATATTTTTAATTTTTGAGTATGATAAGATATAAAAATTAAAAACACGGTGTAAAGAGATATTTTCTCGTTAATTAAAGGTTCCTCATCTAATTTTTGAGAAAAATTTTAAAAGTAGCACCCTGCCCTAAAATCCCATTCTTCACCAACACGAAAATCCCCATTCTTCACCAACACTGAAAATCCCAATGCATACCTTCACAAACTGAACAACTCACTTATAAAACCCCTCAAATTCAAGCATCTAATCAGACCATCTTGCTTTAATCTTAAGAACCCCATTGAAACGGAGCTCATGTTTATCTCCCTCTCCTGTGTTCTAATACCAGGGGGCACTCACGTGCTCTGCTACCAGGGGGCGCCCATGTGCTATGCTACCAGGGGGCGCTCATGTTCACTCCATCTCTCTCTCTCTCTCCCCCTTGCTCCTCTCTCTCTCTCTCTTCTACATATTTAAGAACGCATGGAGTTCAAACACAAATGAACGGGAGCTAATTGGGAGTGGTTGGAGTCCAGGTATGGGTCAGGTCCTGGGTCCATAGTGTCAATACAAGTACGGGTCTCTAGAGCCATTGGTTTGGGTCCGGTTACGGGTCCATCTTGGCCTATTCAAGTCCGGGTCTGAGTCCAGCAGTACCCAACCTGTTGCTACCCCAAATCCCCACCCACTCCCTGCAAAAACATTTCGGTGTTCGAGGGATGGATCACCACACTGAAATTCTCCTGAGGATTCAGGGCAGTTCCTCGTTACACTCTTTTTTTAAGATGAAGTCTAGCAACCAATTTTCCTTCACCCCTTGGTCAAGTGTGAGTTCGAAGTGTACCATTACTTTCCTCGAAATTTGATCTAGTGCCTTTCTCCATCTCCTAACCGCCCTAGTTTTTTTTTTTAGGTCTAATGATAGTGCTATGACTTGGTAAAGGGATTTTTTCCTCTTAAAACTAGGATGGATACATATCCATGTATGGATTTTTGTATAGCATTATTTGAGAATCTCTACCTTGGGCTTTGGTGTTCTTTAGAAGATCCTTGAATCCTCGCTTAGGATTGAAGGAGCATATCATGACCAAGAACGAGAGTGGTCATATAATGTGAATGACCTAGTACCTTATATAACGGCCTGTGCTTATTTTTGATAGGGGATTGTATGGTGTGTGACTATTTATTTTTGTCACAAGAAGATCACATTAACTTCTAATCATTAGATATCAAATTGGATGAATTGGAGGTGTGTTATAAAGTTTGAGAAAGCTCTTTTTAAACTTTGGGTCTAATCAATAATATTCTTACAACCACTCAATTTGAAATAAAAAAGACAAGAGTTATTATGACCTCTTTATACCAAAAGTAAATGGTTTCTTTATATATTTTTCTTTCTTAAGCATTCAAATCTTACTCTAGACAACATGTATCTCAACAACTACTCTATATATGGGCTTACTCTATAGGATAAGCATTCTATACTTCCCCTACAACATAAAAGTTCTATCCTCCCTGTTAACCAACCGTCCATTCTGAATGGAGGGTTAAGATTGCCCCAATCACAATGTCACGTCTCAATACTATTTTATTTTTAATTTTTTTCTATAAACTATTTTGACACCGGACGTCCATTCCTCTATTAAACTCGCACTAGCGAAAAATATAAAAAAAATATTTTCAATAAATTAAAATAACCAAAATACCCTTGACAGTTTCAAGGGGTATTTTGATCATTATATTTTATCAAAAAATTATTTTTAATATCTTTTTATAGGTGCACCCCTATGAGAAGATGGCACATACAAAATTTCATGTTTATACAATTTGTATAAAAACAATTAAAAATAAAATACTTTGAGACGTCAGAACTAAGATCAAACGGTGAGTGACTCTCTTGATCAAAATTGGACGGCTGGATGATAGGAGGAGGATAAAACTTCTATGCAGTAGGGGAAGTATAGAAACCTTTCCCGACTCTATATATCCTTTCCACTTAAAAATAAAAAGACTATGCACTTTGGGTTTCAGATTACCGTTTGCAGTGCTGTGCATAGGTCCATGCTCCCGCTCCCGCTCACACCGACACTCCGCATCATTCTTGAGGAGTCCAACGAGCTCTTCAAGCTTGAATTTTTATCCCTGGCGGCTAACAAATGTCCCATGAATTCCAGCAACAACTCCACTTTAAGCTTGACTTCAACTGCCTCGTGCTGATTAATCATGGCTTTGTCTTTAATCAGGAGTTTGGGTCTTTAAGTGCCTTGAGATTGTGGCTTGATACTCCAACTGATCTTGGGCGTTTTTTTTTTTTTAGAATAAAAAGGACATCAACAATATTAGTGGGGTGGTGTCAGTAGAAATGGAAACCACAATATGGTGATTTTGGGTGTCCATTTTAGTCTGATTGGCTTTAAGGTGTTTCGAAAAGAGGAGGTGAACTTGTCGCACAGACCTTCCTGTTGGAGCAGTGGTTCCAACCTTCATACTTTTACTATACCCATCACCCTTCTGGGATTCATGGCGCTCATGCATCAACCGTTTACAGGATTTTGACTCCAACAAACTTGGAAAGAAATAAAACATGAACGACGGATAACAACATGGCTCGATCTGGTACGAATATAAGCAGCTATAGTAATGCATGGCAGTAATCGAATTTCAATAAATTTTCGAAACATTATTACTTGTGCCAACAAACCAACCTAATGAGTGTTGCGATCCTTTTTGTACGTCTTTTAGAACATAAAAATGCAAAACAAAGAAAAACACATAATGCCTTTTGATCTAGTTGCAACCACGTTCTCACGAACAAGTGAAGAAAAAACTTGTGATAGTTGCTCTGGGTAACCTCACAAGACAGTTACGGCACCCTGTCCAGGAAACATCTTTACTTCAAACTCAAAAACAACTAAATATCATGTTTCAGTGTGTTTTGGATGACGTAGAATCTGAATAGAATTCAAATAAAGAGAAATCGAGGTTAGCGCAGAGCTCTATTTGCACAAAAAAAAGCTTACAAGATATTTTCAGCCCAATTTCGTCGTTTTCAAGACACAAAAATGCCCTAAAATCAATGGAAGTTTTTTTGGTGAGCCTAAATGGGTGTAATTGACTCGAATCACGGTCCAATTAGTTATAAAGTTTGATTCGCCACATGGTCTGAGAACGGCTCACCACGGTCAATTCACAAAACTAGTCAGATCAACTCAGTTTGACGTGAATATTGGTGGGATGATATAGTGGTGTCTTAGGAACCTGCCGTCCAAATTTTGGAAGATTTGGAGACCATTCAGGTAATATATAAAACTCATTTTCATCTATGGCCACAGTTAGCTGCCAAACTGCCGCCAATGATCGAATGGAGAGACGTGATTTAAATATGAAGTTTCTATCATGGTTATTGATTAAAAATTACTTCCAATGAAAATTTATCCTTTTAGAAGGATTTTTAAATCATTTCATGTCCGATAATCGAGTCGAAAGCATTCTTCGGCTGGATGAAACTGCCGCATTATTGACAATGATCGGGGCTTAATAACTCTCGGCTTAAACTCAAGTTTCACTTTTAGAAAGCATAAAGTGTATTTTTTTTAAGCTCAAATTCGGCATGTTCATGCTTCTCATCATCAAATAAATATAAAAACTATTTAAAAAGATAATCTAAAATATATAATATTATCAAAATAAAAACCTAAACGACTATGCATTTGCTAGTACCTGCCAGTCGGAAGCCTGTGTAAATGAAAGTTGTGTTAAGTAAACAGCAAATATCAAACTTTGCCATAACTTTCCATAAATCCTAAATCTACATTATTTGCTTATGCTTGACCATTTCCCGTAGACTGAAAGTATGACCCTTGATAGAGCACAATGACAAAATATGATTCACATAGTTGACTACGAATAGTTACGATAAAACTTTGATGGCGATAATTATTATCAAAATGCTCCTAAATAGTACGGGTATTTTGGCTATTTATTATTTTTAATAATTTTTATAGATGTATGATGGTGAAACTATCGATATACCGAATTTGATTCTTAATCCAATGTACAAAGAAAAAGTAACAAAATTCAAATACACTTTAAACTCTCAAAAAGTAGTACTTATTGTAGAACATAGAACATATAAAAGTATTTTTAAAGTGTGAGATGTAGATGGTGCCCGCCTTATATTATACAATTTTAGGCACACGTCTACAGTTTGCCAGAAGATATATTTCCGGTGTTCCTTACAATAGCTTCAAAATTCATGTTCAACCTTAATCATGAAATTTTAAATTTTAAAAACAATAAAAATCAAAAAGATCTATAAACATTTGAAAATCTTGAAAATAGACTGTCCACAACTTGTTAAAAGATACATCATTTTTAAGACTTAAAATTATTATTTTTCTTATCGAAATGATTAATTTAAAGGTTTTCCAACTTCATAACATTTTCTACTCTGTTTTTTATGTACACCTTTAGTAAAACATTGCAACCTTATATAAACTTTTCCTATTTTTAAATTGCACAAATAAAACATGATTTTTTTTGTTAATCTCCCCCGTGGTAATTCAATGGACAGAAGGATCCAAAAAAAGCACATTGCAAAGGAAATGAGAGAATATGTTATAAAAGCGACAAAGAAGGGGGAAAAAAGAAAGCTTTGACCATGATGAGATTGAGCTGTGTGTCAAAACCTTTCCAGCAGAAAACAATTCCACAAAACGTGGAAACTGAAACAACTTAAAAAAAAGGAAAAAGGAAAAAAAAAGAACGAAAGAAAAACCACGAGGGAACCACACTAGCAGATGGAGATGGGAGTATACAGAATACCCCATGCGGACAGAACCCAGCTCGGGTGAGCTCACAAATTAAAAAATGACCGTTTTGGCAAGGATATGACTTTTCTCAGCGCTTAACTACATTATTTGATTACGTTCAGCTGCAGCTGTTGTTCTGTTCATACTTTACACTGAAGAACAACTGATATCTAATACCATAATTAAGCCTTGAACATATGAATTAATGTGTTCTCCAAGTATCCATTCTTCACAGCTTAGGGATGTTGATATTGCTATTTTTCATCATAATTGTCTCATCAGAATCAGGAATAGAGCTGCAGGGACATTATAGTGTAACAGTAATCAGAAAATCCAAGGATGATATTTATATAAGAATGCAGCGGTGGTACCTTTGAAAGCTCAAGGCAGACATTCTGTACAAGCTGGTGAAGACCAGCAGGTGGAGCCCAATTGAATAGAAAAATATAAAAGTTCGTGCGTACCTATATACAAAGAAATTAAAACCTTAAACGTCAGTCTCAGTTCAACAGTGCACAAGCTACACAGGTTTGCTCAGTCATAGACAACATTGAAAAAGGAGAAAAACAATGACATGAATTAACCAGTCTAATTTAAACAGATTATACGTTGCACTCCTTTGTGCCATGGTTTGATATAGTCTCTCTAGAGGTCATCTTTCTATGATAATAATCTCTAGTCTTTCTGCATTATTTGAAACAGACAAGATCTGTTTCAGTAAAAATTGTGACTTCGCTAGTAGCCTTCATTCTTTAACACAATATGAAAATGGGTAATCAAAAACTTTTTGAGGAATATTCGAACTATCAAGGGATCAAACTTATAAGCTTATACTATGAAGCTGCTGTAGAGAATGATTGCGCAATGACTAAGGCAAGAAACTATCAAGGAATCAATGAGGCAATTTCCCTACTTAGGCAATTTATTGAAAATTTAAGGCAAAGGGAAAAGACCTCCAGTCTTTTATTGATCTAGAGAAAGCTTATGATCGAGTACCTCGAGATTCAATTTAGTGGGTGTTGGAAAAGCAAGCTGTCTCCAAATACTATATCGACTTAGTGAGGGGTATGCATGAAGGAGTGCTAAAAAGTGTACGAAAAGTTAGTGGAAAGACGAGTTTTCAATGAAAATAAGTCTACATCAGGGATCAGCATTGAGCGCATACCTCTGTCTTAGTATAGACGACTTAACTACGTAACTATAAGATGAGGAACCGTAGTGTATGTTGTTCGCGGACAACATACTTTTGATTGATGGGACATGAAGCAGCGTCAATACAAAGTTCAAACTTCGAAGGGATGCTCAAAATCCAAAAGTTTTAAAATTAGATAGACAAAGACAAAATATATGAAATGTAAGTTTAGTAATAGGAGTAGAGACAAGGGTGTAGTTAAGATTGACGACAAGAAATACAAAAAAAAGCACACTTCAATATCCGGGTCGTTAATCGAGGTAAAAGGAGAGATTGAAGAAAATGTCGCACATAGCGTTATAGCTGAGTGGGCGATGTGCAAATGTGCAACTGAAATTTTATGTGATTGCTACATATCAATGAAGCTGAAGGAGAAGTTCTATAAGACAGCTATGAGACCAACTTTGCTTTATGGGGTAAAATGTTGGGCAGTCAAGAAACAACATTACCATAGGATGAATATAGATGAGATGATGACGTTGAAATGAATATATTCAGGAGATCTTAGGTATGGCTCCAATAGGCGATATGATGAAAGAAAAATAGATTTAGGTGGGCTAGCAATGTACAACATAAACCAAGTACAACACCTATTAGGAGGTGCGAGTTGGTTCAAGTGAAAGGCTCAAAAAGGGCAAGGGGTAGGCCCAAAAGGGCATGGATCGAAAAGTGAGAAATGACATGGCGATTTATGGCCTCACAGAGAGTATGGCCCTTGATAGAGCAAATTAGCAGACCAGGAAAAAAGGCTCTGATGATGATCTGTGTAGTGGGAGCGGAAGCATGCAACAAGGCGATTTTCAAGAATGAAACACCAAAGGAACAATAAATTTTGAGAGCGAGAACATATTCTGAATCATAAGGCTTTGGTAACTAATGGATATGATAAAGAAATCATTTAAGCATTAATGTCACAAATAGAAGGCATATACTAGCTGGACCATGATCTGGGATTATGGAGAACAGTAGAGGACTTGGTTACCTCCTATGACCCGTATCCATTACATTAGGATTCCATGTCTCCTCATATTATAGTGAGACATTCAAATCCACCTACGAAAGAGCAAAAGATACATGCATGACTAAAATTCTGCAAAGAACCACCACAAATCTCCCACATCCTATAACTCAAAACTCAAACAGAACTCCAAATAAATAAGGGCCCATCTTGGATGGACCACTTTACTGAGGAACCAAGAAATAATATAAATATACATGGAGATTAATTTTATGTCACTGTGTCATTGTAATATAATGAAACCACAATTATAGTATGGCATGTATATAAACCCAAATTCAGTATAGGGACTATCTCTATCCCAACATTTAATTTTAGAAAATAAAATTCAACTTGCACCTTAGATATAGTCAAAATGAGTCGCCCTCCAATAATAAATCATTACCATCCATTTGGAGAATTTTAACATCTAGGCCTCTAGGAACTAAAAATCAATTTTTTCTTTTTTAAAATTGTTCATGCAATTATAATAAATCCATCGAGAAAATTAGAAAAAGGAAAAAAAAATTCCTACTAAGGCCTAGATCTAAGCATTTCACCAAACGGATTGGTCTATATTAAATGGGCTAAAAAAACTCTTTTTAGGGTATATATTCAAATTTCAATTATTTATAATTGTTCATCAAATGAAAGGAGTATATATTTATAAATTGGATCAAACAAATAGCCCTAGCATAGTTTTTTAATATTATTTCATTATAAATATACCCTCTCAATAGGTTTGCAAAGAAGTCCACCCCAAAGGCTAAGAGATTTAGTGCTCTATAGGCTTGTAAGTAAATCTACTACAAAAAGATCTTTTCGAAAGGCCTAGACAACTCAATTCAACTTCTCTACCTTTACAAAACACAACATACATATTCATCATCATCATCATACGAGCCTTATCCCAACTATTTAGGGTCGGCTATACAAATATTGTTTCGCCATTCCTTCTATTAGGTGTCATACTCTTAGTAAGACCATAAGTCACCATATTTTTTCTCATTATTTTCATCCATGTCCTTTGGGGCCTTTCCCTTGCCCATTTAGAGCCTTCCACTCGAACCAAATCGCCCTCCCAAACGGTGTTGTTCTAGGTCGATAGTACACATGGCCAAATCACCCCTACGTGTTCTCATCCTATGGCTTGTTGGAACCACCCCTACGTTCACTTGGATGTTTTCATTTTGAATTCTATCCTTTCTTGTCTTGCCAGTCATACATGTCAACCTCTTCATCTTAGCTACACCCATTCTATAGATATGTCGTTTTTGTTGGGTACTTGTAGCTATTAAAGACCTTATGAGAGCATGTAATCAATTTTTGATATAGTGGAACAATGAACTCCAGCGTGTCATCGGCAAACTGCAGGTGGCTCATGGCAGGGCCTTGGCGACTCACCTTGATTACAAAGCTCAGCTTGATACATCCAAGAGAGGGATCTGCTGAACACCTTACCCACAAATGCAAATAACAAAGAAGAAAGGGGGTCTCCTTGGCGAAGTCCTCGAGAGGAAGGGAAGAATCCCTTGGGGGAGCCATTTATTAAAATAGAGAAGAAAGGGCTGGACACACATCCCATTATACAAAGTCACCATCGATCCCCAAAACTCGTGTGTTAGAGCCTCGTCCAGGATACCTCGATCGTAGGATTTCTCCCAATCCACCTTTACAATGATCCCAGTAATTTTATAGAGCTGTCTCGAAGGAATGGCCTCGTGAGCTATCAAAGCAACATCAAGGACCCTAACAAAAGCACCCTGGGTGGGAAAAATGATCCATCGAAAGACCTCCCAAAGTCTGGAGGCGAGAACTTTGGATAGGACTTTGTAGGAACTATTGATAAGGTAATTGGTCTAAAATCTTTTGAGTTCCTCTGCCCTTTGATTTTCGGAATCTAGGCAATAAAAGTCGTGCTCATAGCCCAACGGATTACCCCATTAGTATGAAATTCAAGGAAGAAGGCCATGATATCAGGTTTCATCGAGGGCCAAAATGCTTTAAATATGGCTATTGGAAAGCCATCATGCCCTGGAGTCTGGTCTTGGCCAAGTTCAGAAATAGCATTGAGCATTTCTACTTCATCGAAGGGACGATCAAACCATTCAGCTGAGTGAGGGGGAATGGTTAGGAAAGATAGGTCCGCCATCTTTGGCATGGACCCAAAGGGAGCCTTTTAGAGATTCTGGAAAAATTTGATAATGGCACATTCTATTGGGGCCGTTGGTCCAGAATTTGTTTCCCAACTTTAAGCTGGGACATTGAATGAGCTCGCCTTCTGCAGTTGGTAATTTTATGAAATAACGCAATATTCTGGTCTCCATGTCTGAGCCATTTGACTCGAGACCGCTGAGCCAAGACGATTTCCTTTTTTCTAAGAAGATTTTGGAACTCTAATTTTGCTTGAGATCGAGTTGCCCTTTCTGAGGAGGAGAGGCTCTGGAGCTCTTCAGCGGAGTCCCATTGCCGAATGGTGAGAAGAATCGCCTCTTTGGGGGACGGAAGCTCCCTGGCAATTGGGAGCTCCAGGTTTTGATTGCCCCTTTGAGAAGTTGAAGTTTTCTTTGAAGGTGGAACCCTTCCCAGCCCTAGACTCTGTTGGTTTTGAAAACAATCATGCTTATTTCATATAACATTCTATTTTAAATTTCAAATCACCTAGGTGGATTCATGGACAAGCCACACCATCTATGAAATAGGAAAGAGTGGGACGCCCCACCTATGGATGAAACAAGTGGGCCCCACACCCCACATAAGTGGTTCTAATGTGGTGGGCCGCATTAAATCTTGGGCCCCCATAATCTTAACTAAATTTTAAATTAATAAATTGATTTTTAGAAAATCATAAATATTTTACCTTTCCCTCAAGATATTTAAATACATAAAAATTCGATTTGACCTAATTTGAAAATTAATTTTGATAAAATAAAACATTCAGAGCCTTTTAAAAATTCATATAAATATTCTAAAAATCATTTAACACAATTAATTATTTTAAAATTATTTTGATAAAAATCAGATCCAACTTCATTAAGGAAAATGCGAATATATTGAGGCATTCCATCTCTACTAGTGACTATGTCTCACACTCACTTTCTCAAACTGACCCAATAGTTCCCATGACCCACAGTCCACTACAAGAGTTCATTATTAGGCTACCAAAGGCAGCCAATAGGTGATGAGAACACAATCCTAGTATATGAACTATAGGTTTAGGAAAAGGAGGACTACTACCCCATTTCAAGCGTTTGAGGAGGTTGGCCACAAATATAGCCATAATCAGGCCATAGGATAGCCTTGAACCCTGGTTGTTATGACAAAACCAAAGAAGACCGCATCAAACTATGTCTATCAATCAAAGGAAATCAATGCCTACTTCAGCTAACATGATCCAAATCTTCCCTAGTGGACCATCCCAAGAAAATAATAACCAGATGGCTATGCCTAAAACGAGTGATGACATTGAAAGCAACTCGAAATAGTCCAATAGGGGTGATGTCTTTAAAACGTCCCCCATTTAGTCTGAACAGGGTCAAGACCTTAAACTTACCCTAAACCAGTCCAATATGGGTGATGACGTTAAAAACTTCCCTATTTGGCTTAGATGGGGTGAAGACCTTAAACTTATCCTAAACAATCTAATATGGGTGATGACTCCAAAGCTCCTCCATCAAGTCTAAAGGGGTTGAAAACGTTAAACTTATCCTAAATCAGTCCAATATGGGTGATGACTCTAAAAGCACCCCCATTTGGTCTACAAAGGATGATGACCTAAAACGTACCTTTAATAAACTCCATTTGATCGAAAACTCAAATTGGCCCACTATTCATCAAGCTGCAACGCAACTTCTCATCGATTAAAGGAAAATGACTCAGGTAATGAGGAAATCTCCATCACGGAAGTAGAGGCCAATCCACAACAACTTGAGGAGGGTGGCCAGGCTACCGAACATGTACTTGTTGAAATAGACTTGGCAGGCAAGGGTGATCCAAGGTCCACCTTGCTAGCGCATCGCTGATCCTAGAAAAAAAAAAGACTAGTATGTTGCCTTCCTTCAAGAAAATAGTGACGTCTTTGTGAGGACAAACAATGAGATGTCTAGGTAAGACCCTAAGGTAGCTATCCATAAGCTAGCACTTGACTCGGAGGCAGTGCCAATACAACAACATCCAGTAAACCATAACCAAAGATTGCCCCTAAAATAGAATCGGAGGTCGACAAGCTCCTCACCGCAATACTCATCCGTGATGTGAAACACACGAAGTGGAAAGCAAATATAGTGTCAGTAAAGAAGAAGAATGGCCAAGTTCCAATCTATATTGATTCTAGAGACTAGCATGCCACATAATCAAAGTACGATTTCCCATTTCCAACAATGGAGGTCATGATAGACTCTACGGTAGCATGCAAGGCCTTCTCCTTCATGGATGGGTATTCAAGGTACCATCAAATCAGAATGACCCCAGAAGATGAAGATCTTACTGCCTTTTGAACCTCGAGGGACATTTTCCGCTACAAGGTTTGAAAGGCATTTTCTGCTACAAAGTAATGCCTTTGGGCTCAAAAAATGTTGCACTACACATTAATGAGGCAATGACTATTATCTTCAAGGAAATCGTGCACAATATAGTGAAATTCTACATTGATGATCTAGTGGTTAAATCCAAAGATCATGCTACTCATTTACAAGATCTCGAAGTTCATTAGTTAAAAATGAATCCCTTGAACTGTGCAAAATTGCTCGGGTTCATAAGGAGGGATAAAAGAAAGATCTAGAAAACGAGAGAAATAACTAGAGCATAGAAGAAATTCATGGAACTCAACAAGTAAAAGCACTTGGCCAAATAATATACACACCACATATGCAAGTTTAACACCCCCCGACCTCCCCACGGGTCTCCCTCCCTCTCTAAAACAAAAGAACCAGGAAATAGAAAAAGAAAGGACTGATAGAGAACATGCAAATTGACATATAATGTGATACAACTTAGAAATTTTTAAGAACAATATAAAGTGATTTCCATAGCCGACCCCAATTAATTCAGAAAAGGACAAAATGATGATGATAGTGTGATTTCTATAACAAGGGAGGAAAACAATACGCATATGATGCACATCAAGAAGGCAATAAGAAAAAGCATACTACTTGTACAGCAAGAGAGAAATGAAGCCATAGCAATATACACATGATGCACGAGAAAAAGGCAATAAGAGAAAGCATACTTGTTGCCCAAGAGGAAACGACCGCTACTAAGTGTGATTTTATCCCGGATACCGAGTTCCTTGTACCTTTGTTCCTTTTCCTATTTTCAATATGAAGATCTCAATGAGCGAATGTGCCCCAACTCAATATGAATGAATTAGACATTGATATGTTAAAGCAATTGATAACTAAATATACAACTGCACTACATAGAGGAACAAATTGATAGGCCTAAAAGACGATGAAACATGAGACTGCAGAGGAAAGTCAAGAATTCATGAATAACAAAAAACCAGCTTCAAGAGACATGACAAAACTGGAAAGTCAATCATGTAAAAGCACATGAACTTAATATAAAAAGCCTTGCAGATCAATAAATGAAACAATAAAACTAAAAATTAGCCCTCATATATATTTCTCAGTTGCAAAACTAGATTGTAAACAGAAAAGAATACAACAGAACAAAAGGAAATGGATTTAGGGAAATTTCTTTGCATGTTATAGATCTTCTCTGCCCAAGATCCAATAGCATATTAATAGAGCCCCATTCTTGAGCTAATTCATCATCCACTCTATCTCCCCAAATATCAACTGACCTAGTGATATCTTCAAATTTTCTCTTTGCTGCTTCCTTCTTGTTTCTGATCCATCCTACATAATCCTCTCCCTCCTAACTTCTAGAAGAACTTGGGTACATGGGGCCACATCCCCTCTCATACCAGCTAAATGTTTCTTCAACCTACTAATACATCGTAGTACTTTTTACAAAATTTGCACTCCACACATATCTTATCATTAGGATTAGGGCACAAGCCATATTTCCACCCCTGATCAGATTATTTGCTAGTAGTAAAAGAAGAAATCTTCACCTAATCAAAAAAGTGAAAACAAATTTAAATTTCATTCAAAATACAATTTACTTAAAAAAAATACAAGAACAAGAAACCAAACAAGAAAATTAAATAGAAATAAACAATTTCGATTAAGTGACAGATTTTAATACGATTGGGTTACCCAATCTTAGTAAACTGCCACTAAGAACAAAGAAAAACCCACTATGGCTTATGGGGCGCGAATCCAAAACATTATCTTCAAAAAAAAAAAAATACAAGAGTAAGATACCAAACAAGAAAACTAAATAGAAAAAAACCAATTTCAATTAAGTTCCAGGTATTTTAATACGATTAGGTCACCAACTCTTAGTAAAATACCACTAAGCACAAAGAAAAACCCACAATGGATTATGGGGAATCAATCCAAAAATTAAGTCATTAACTTCAAAAAAAATATAAATACAAGAACAAGAAACCAATCAAGAAAATTAAACAGAAAAAATAAAATTTGATTATGTTTCAGAGATTTTAATAAGATTGAGCTGCCCCATCTTAGTAAAATGGCATTAAACGCAAACAAAAACCCATTATGGAATTTGGCCTCACCAATCCAAACATAAACTCAAAAGAAAAATACAAGAAAAAATCCAAACAAAAAAAGAGATACACATTTTGGTCATTTGGCCCTTTTTCAATGAAGAATACAAGAACAAGAAATTAAAGAGAAATAAACAAATTTGATTATGTTTAAGAGATTTTAGTAAGATTAGGTTGCCCCATCTTAGTAAAATGCCTTTAAACACAAATGAAAACCCATTATGGAATTTGGCCTCACCAGTCCAAGCATAAACGCAAAATAAAAATACGAGAAAAAATCCAACCAAACAAAGAAATACACATTATTCATCATTTGGACCTTTTTCAATCAAGAATACAAGAACAAACATGCAATCCTACACTTGAAGTTCTTGAACTAATTTATAAGGAAAAAAACCAAAGAAGAGGGATAAAAACCAGTCAACCAAATACTCATAAATATCATACAAACCATAAACCAAAAATTTGAAATAATGAACCTTTTTGATATGCACTAGATCTTGGCTCAAATCGATGCTCCGCAAGAGCCAAAAGTCTTCTTTCACAATCAATTCGACCCACAAAAAGTATCAGATTGATTGTTTTTTGATTTTGCAAGAAATAAAAAATTCTAGAAAATTTTAGAATTTTGTTTTTGGGGTATTTTTCTCTCTCTAACAACCAAAATACGTTTTGGGGGTTCATAATGCCCCCCAAAACCTTTCCCCCCTCTTTAGAGGATGACAATTACGTTTCTTACCCTATAATGAGGATTTTTTTCCGCCAATTTGAGCGATGCCAAAAGGTGCTGCCTAGGTGGCGCCTAGTGACAACTGCCTTGGTACCACACCTTTGCCCTAATTTGTGCGGTTGTGCCCTTCGTTCAACTGGTTGGACAGCCTAGGCGGCAAAGCGGGTGCATTTTCTAACATCGCCTTAGAGAGAGAGAAAGAGGAGAGAGCGAGAGAGGGAGGAGAGAGAGAATGTAAGGGTAACCATGAAAACAAAGAGAAAGGCAAGAAAAAGTAAAAAAAAAACAAAGCACTGCAAATACCACTCTTGAATGACATCTGTCGAAATAACTTCATAAGTAAACTCTCATTTCATACTCTGAACTCCCAAAACAAGATATAGAAGTGACATTTTCATCAAGAGAACTGAAATGAAGAACATAGAGCATAGCATGAGAGGTGCAGCTAAGAGAAATTTGATGGCTATGTGCACCAACACGTTTTTGTAGACTCAGCCTGTTTACCAATTCAGCAGTTGCTTACTTGAGTAAATGACTTCGAAAGAAAAAGGTTCTCTCCAAACTAAAGAGCATTTTATGTCATTTGTTTTCACTAATGAAGCTTTTGCTTTTGTATTGTGCTGGACAAAAGTAAAACCATGAGATGTGTAAAGACTTACCCATAGCTTCTATGACAAGCAACTGCTTCCCTTGCCCCTTCCCCTATGCCTAATTTTCTTCTGCAAACAACTGTTTTCATTTCCTCGTCTTCCCAATGTGACATATAAGAGCTTTGGGTAATCTAACTTACCCATGCTAGCACTTGTGAACCAGAGAGAGTGACAGAGATCAAGCAACTACCCTCTGAAAAGGCACTACATTTCCACCGCCTATTTAAAGAAAGAAGCTCAAGAAGCACCCCCATGACTATGAAAGTCCATGACAAGTTCGGATAGCATAATATGAGAGATAAAAGAAGAAAATAGATGAAAATTGTGGGCGAGATAACATTTCTTTTTGTGCTAGAGAGAAAACAGAGCAACTTTTCTGGTTTTATCATAGGACAAGAACATAGAAAAGAGTGAAGAAATTTCTCATTTATCTACGACTATAGGAGTCTATGCACCAGCTACCTCACAAAAAAATTCATTTCGCTAGGGGCTTTACAACAACAAAGGAGGGGTTGGAACCTTCTAAGAGTATACAACTCCAAAGTGTTTAGCGAACGCTGCCACAAATCCACCATTGCTATCTCTTATGACCCCACCCCGTCCTACGAAACCAGAATTGTACAAGAACGCACCATCAATATTCAACTTTAACACTGAATAGGAGATGACCATGCTACTGGGATTGAGGATTTTGGCTCCTTGCTGGAGCCAGTTGATCTGTAAGTTTTCAATAACCGCCTTTTTTGACAAATGGAAGGCCCATTTTTTAACTTCTGCTAGAGCCTTGACATGTGTAATAATACGAATTACAACCTGCTCCTTTAGAGCGTTAGATCTAAAGAATCGTCTGTTCCGCTCCTCCCATAGATACCAGATTGTTGCGAAAAAATAGCCGTCCAAATGTCAAGTGACCCCTATGATCTGAATTTGAAGGCTAACCACCGACGAAGATTATCCAGGACCGTAGTACCAGGCACAAATCTCCTGCCACACTGCCAAGCTAAAGATCGCCAAACAGCCAGGGAAAAGGGACAGTAAAACAAGAGGTGACATAAATTCTCCTCGTTGTTTCTACAAGAAGGGCAAATAGTAGCCATGTGTATACTTCGCTGTTGAAATATGGATGAATTTGGCAACCTATTATGCATAGCTAACCATGAAAACCACTTAGCCCGAGGGTGATATTTTGAAGACTAAAGAGCACGAAATAAGGGCTGAGATGAACTTTTATATTGAATGAAGTTCCATGCTGATATGATTGAGAAAGTTCCATTGGCAGAATGAGCCCATACCAATGAATCATCCTTAGGCTGCAAGGGAAGAGTATATAGCTCCACATCACCCCATAACCCATATAGTATTCAGTAAAGTTGAAGGATGTGAAGGCAATGTCCATGATTGTGGGTTACCATCAATAAACTCCGAAACCTTCTACCCTTCAAGTTCCCTCAAATCCATCCGTCCATTTGCATCTAAAGAGTCCCGGATTGACTACACTGATCGCCAAGGATCCAACAGGAAATCCACCGATATAAATGCCCTTCCAAGCATGAGAAGGGTCCCTCTTAGCTACAGAATCCCAAATGGAACACAATCTGAAATACCTGTGTTTGAAGAACCGAGCAAATAAAGAAGATGGATTTAATAAAATCCTCCATGTCGGCTTCATCATGCCTGCAATATTGAAGTCTATCATTTCACTCACCCACAGCCCTCCCTCCGTCTGAGGAAAGCAAATTGTCCTCCCATTAACAAGATGAACCCCCTTTCTATCATGTTACAGGTTTTCTTTGGCAACATAAAAGATAGTATCCAGAAAATAGCATAAGCACTGAGGACTGACTTAGGCAGTTGAAGACGTCCTGCCTAAGATAAACATAAGGCTTGCCATGTACCTATCCTACTGATCACCTTTCCAACCAGGCTTTGACAATAACTATGTCGAAAATGTCCATGAAACAAAGGTAGCCCCAAATAATGCACCAATAAGGAACCTTCACTGAACCCCATCTTTCTCGAGATCCATGCTTGACTGCCTTGTGGAACCCTAAAGAAGAAAACCTTGCTTTTTGTAGAGTTTAACATTTGGCCAGGAGTATTCTCCAAATTAGTGACAATCGTCTTTATTGCAGAGGCAGATGCATAGGAAGCCCTGCAGAAAATTACGGAATCGTCAGCATAAAATAAGTGAAAAATCCCATAGTCGCAGCCAAAGGGGAAGTCTCCGGGTATCAATCCCTGCAACATAGCCTGGTCTAGTTGCCTACTAAAGAAATCCATGAATAGCAAAAACAAGTAGGGGGTAAAGGATCTCCTTGTCTCAGACCTCTTTTTCTATTAAAGAAATCCATCGAAGATCTCTTTTTCTTTTTTGAGATTTTTAGGGTTTGGGCCACCCTAAAAAGGGCGACCTTTTCCAAGCCGAGGCATCCTGACCCCCTAGGTGGAAGGCGTTCCGTTGGTTGTTTCATTGGTATATGAACATATAGCGTTTGCTGGTTTGGTCGACCTCAATCTTCAAGTGGCAACCCAGGTGCCACCTACTGATTTTATAAAAACATTCAATAGAAGCTACAAACAAGTTGATTTTCACTCAACCTTCAAATTAATATAATATGATCCCCTGCTACATTAAGTAGGGGATTACTCCACATGTTAATGTTTAATTCAATAATGGGACTGATTTATGTTATAATTCAAGAAATACAGCAGACATGAAGTATATGACTGATTCTCAATAATTGATTAATTAATTATAATGTAGGAGTTGTCCTTGTCTATAGTATAGCCATCTCAAAGGCTATCTTGATCCTACTCACACTTAAGGAGAGTGTCTTCTCTATAAGACGCTCTAGACCAGCAATCCAATATGATCTTGAGGAAGAGAACTTTTAAGTGTGGGACAAACCCTTGCCCCTGCTCCCACTTCCAACAAACATGCTGCCACTAGGTTATACCACTTCGGATTTGGAGGGCACACCTTAGGGACCAACTTGGGCAGGTTTTGCTTTGCTTTGCAACTTGAGCTGAAAGCTACAACAACTACCTGGAAATAGAACCATCAAACCAGCCTCCACATCACCACATGGTTATGACCGAATTCTAGTTGAATCCAACTCACTAGTAGCAATTAATTGGTGCAAAATTCGATATCATCAGGCTGGAAATTCTACCACTCAGTTGCAAACATTGGCAAGACCCAAGGAGCATTCCAATCCATTCAGTGTGGACACATTCGCGGAGAAGGGAATCAGGCTGCCAGTTACACAAGCCTCATTTGGTCTCCACTTGCATGCCCATGCATGTTAGATCAGCAGTCCTTCGCTCAAGCGGGTTCATCTACGAGGGTCTTTATATTCCAAATTCCAGATTCCTGTGTCATTGATCTTGATTCGGGCAGATCATGGTACAAATGAACCATTACCTACACTGCATAACCACTTCTATGTGCATATGGTGGTATTATTTGAAGCCAGATCATTTCAGACCTTCACAGTTGCACGAGCATAAAGAGGGTCTTCATTTTCCATTCCCAGTTTTATTATGGGAGCCTCCGTCCCTTCTAGCAAGATTACAGTCCGTGACTTCATATACACATTCTTTTGCATTAAACAGCTAGGGACCAAACCCCTGCTATTTAGCCAATAAAACAAAACTATATCTACGTAAGAAGGGGCAAAATGCCCCTGCATAAATATCTATGAACACCAAATATATAGATTTCTACATATACAGACACTTCAACAACTTGTACCTGAAATAGTGGTCACTCCCCACATTTATCTTTCCATCTAAATGAACCATAAAACTACTCAAAGTATCAAATTGTCCATAGAACACATGGGACATTCTAATTCTGTCAATATACATATGTAAACCAAGCCAACAAATAACCAAATGTTAACAAGTACCTTTTTGGAAAATGCAGCGAAAGGATTTATGTCATCTTCATAGAGTTTCTTGTACTTGGATTCAACATCTGAACCAAACCCACTCTCTATATCCTCAGAACGCTGAAGCCAAGACAAGTTAATAAGAAAATGTGACATATAACACATGTTAGGAGTAATCAACAAAAGTAATTCTATCCAGACCTTCTTCCATCCCCTGGATACTGGCCTTTCTTTGTTATAATCCTGGACAAAACGGATCTTCTCATAGAGCTTCACATTATCTGATTTAGACTTCTCGAGTTCCACATTTACTACACTGACTTTCTCCCTTAGCTGTCTTAGTTCCTGGAGCATATTGAGTCCTATCAGTTAATACAATCACAAAAACCGAAAAAAGGAAACATAGAAGCAAAACTATGTAACAAGGATCATTTTCTTAGGCCATATGGAAACTTTGCGCATTTCAAAACAATATTAGTTAGATAACAGTACAAACTTGCCTCTTCTGTTTCCCTCAACCGTTTTCGAAACCGATCACGTTGACTACAAATTACTTGGAGCATTGAATTTTGCTCTTGGTCTGGCGAACCTTGCTTTTGCCCTGCATTCTGAAACTACAATAACATTCAATATGCATAAAATGATTCTTGTAATTAAAATGGTTTTTCAAGGATTATACATTGAGACCTCTGCCTATTCAAAAACATGAACATAAATTGCATGCATGTGTGCAGAAGCATGAAACATTCACATATAGAAAAATGAAATTTTCCTGGTGAAATTCAGATATCTTAAATCTATTGTAAAAAATCAAGCATCACTATTTTTCTCAACGCGTAAATCTATGGTAAGAAATCAAGCATAATATAAATAGGAAACCAAGAGGCTATGATGTTTAAACCATGGAGCGTGTACAAGTAGGAAAAATACATACTAGCAACAAAGATACACCATTGCTTCCAAAAGAAGTTTTCAATTATAAGAGATAACTTGGTTAATAAAACTAGAAGTGTACAGTGCAGCTCCTTCGCAGCTCAATACAAGAAAACTAGAAGTGTACAGTGCAGCTCCTTCGCAGCTCAATACATATCACGCACTAACTGCAAAAAAGAAGAGAACGAAAAAAGGGGACTGTTTAAATAGATGCTTCTGCACAATAACCTTGACCTTAGGTGCTGTTCCTCCCACAAAATAATGCTCTCATGACAACCCTTAGGTGACAGCTCATGGAAAATAGCCTACTAAAGCAGTCCTTCAAGGGCACCTCCCCTAAGTGTTTCTGTGAATTAAGATTAGATAAACAAATTTCCTAACATAAAAATTTGTAGGTTTCATTGACAATCCTGTTAGCTAGTCAAGAAGCTTCTGAAAGATGGGTATATGGGTTAAAAGAGAGAGTGAAAAAAGTGTTTAGAATAAGAGAAGGATGGATGAAGAGGTTTAAAGGAGGATGGACCTGCCTATGGTGTGGGTCCGGACTCTAGGGGGAGATGAGAGTCGTATTCAATGTAGGCACCATGAAACAAACTTAAAAAAAAAAAAATGGAATACCAGGAAACTCTGACCAACTAGAGATCAAAACTGCCTACTAATTAAACCTAGTCTTTCCTCACTATTTTCTTAGAGCAAAGGTATGCAGATGCTTTAGACAAACACATTAAACTCATGCCCATGTTAAAGCACTAACCCTTAATGGATCCAATGAAGTACAGTATAAAGAAAATTGAAGTAAGAAATGATGAACATGGTTAACAATAGCATGGAGCACAGAATTATAGCTCAGTAGAATCAGAGCTCATCCCCAACTTGCAATTATCATGTTTTAAGTCAATTCTTACAACCAAAAACACTAATAGAAATGAAGAAGGTTTCTGCAAGGAATTTGTTTTCAGATCAAGTACATGTAAAATTACAAAACAAGCAAAACTTTTACACAGTTGGAAAGACCGAATCTTGTTGATAAAAGTTTTCTGACAATGCAAATGTGAGACAGGCACATCAATCAAAGATTTCAACAGCACATGGTTGAAAATTTACAAGAGTCCCACAACCAAGGAGCACATAGATCAAATAAGTTTTCTGAGACATGTCGTGGCACCACCAAACTCCAGAGTTCATTGAGAAACTCCAGAGTTCATCAAGAATCTCTGGAGCAGAATTTCAGGAGAAGCACCCAGGTTTGGAGGTGAAGATTAACCTTGAGAAGGAATATGATATAGTGGAATAGAAGCTTCTTGACTAGCTAACAGAATAGGATTTACAATTAGAAGCTTCTTGACTAGCTAACAGTATAGGATTTACAATTAGACAGAGGGCATGGATAATGGAGAGCACGTCCACTCCATATTTTCCACTTCTAATTAACAAAATATCAAAAGGCTTGTTTACAAGCTCAAGAGGACAGCAGCAAAGGAATCCCTTGTCCTTTTCCGTCTTCACCCTTGTTGGAGAAGTACTCAGAAGAATTAACAATAACAGACCTAGGAACAGGTTGCTCAGTGGCTTCTCAGCTACCTTGAGTAGCCCTATAATCTCACTCCTCCAGTTTGCAGTTAATATCATTTTATTCTGTGATGCAACCCCTACCAAAGTACATGATTTAGAGCTTGGGTCAGTTCAGAAAGTCAATTTCCACAAGAGTTCAATCATGGGTGTATTTGTGCCCAAGGTACCCTACGGTATGCAAGACTCCCAGCCTGAAAGGTAGAAACTCTACCTCATTATTATCTTGGGCTTCTTCTATCTACGGGGAAGAACCTTTGAGATCCAGTAGTGAAGTGCTGTGACAGGCAAGTAGCCCCTTGGAAGGCACAATTCCTCTCCTTTGCAGACAGAATAACTCTAACTAAGTCTACCTTTAACATTCCAATTTGTTTTACGTCCCTTTTCCAGCTCAATTAGACCAGGAAGACTACAAAGGAACTCCCTTTGGCAAGGAAACAACGGGGAGAGAAAATTCAATTTGGCAAGGAAACAATTGACTCTGGACCTTTGGTACCAGTAGATTTCTTCCTGTTTCAGAGCTGCTGATAGCTTGGCTCGGGCTTCAAGTCTTTGCTCCCGCTTTGGCCTTGTACAAAGGTCTAGATTCTAGTATAGTACCCAATTCTTTAATTTTGGAATTGAGAGACAAAATCTGAGGTTTGGGGTTGTTTGGGAGAGATTTTCCCAAAGTTTGAGAGAGGATTATAGGAATTGCAGCTTTTTAGTGAGTTGGAAACCACCCCAAAGCAATACCATCATTGGTGAAAATTTTGTGCAAAATCGGTTTCCCCCATCCACTGAAGCTTGAACCCCAAAAGTCTGTGGTGTCTTGGAGGGGATGTGTTTCTAGGAGGATAGGCTTCTTTACGGATATCGTATTGGGTAAGTCCATCCTGGGAAGATGGATTCCCAAGCAATCAAGAGTAGGAAGTGATCCATTTTGGTGAGGAAGGGGGTCTAACATGTGGTTAGACCACGTGAAAGATTCCCACAATAGGAATATCGAGGAGACAGTTGGTTTCGATGAAGTCCAAGAAGTTTCTCGTGCAAGAAATAGACGACCCCCTTGTTTCTCTCATGGGTATTCAGATTGTACTTCTGGCCAAAGGTCCCATCCAAAGACTGGGGAGTTTGGATCGCATGGAAGGAGGCCTTCTACAGGAGGCCATCAGAGCTCTACACTAGGTGAGGATGATGGAGAAGAATCTGAAAGAAAAGGAAGATAAACTATGAAGGCAGGGGTCCTAAAGAACCCAGATGCTCCAACCACCTATTTTGCCTCCCATTGGAAAGGCCTTCTACCCCAGATTGCCCTAGCTTTCGAAAGAGTAGGCTTAGGGAGTTTGGTTTCTGTAATGGCAACTTCTTCTGACTTATAGGTCTGAATCAAAACCCACTCTGCATTTGTCTCAAGGTGGCTACCAAGGCCCCAAATGATCCAATCTAGGAACTTCATTTTGGAGAGTTAGGAGGTTGAGAAATTTTCACCCAAAACAAAAATCCTCAGTACAATAAATCCTTCAATACGGCCTAAATTGTCTGCCGCTTCTGTTTAGTCTTTTGGAAGCTTCCACAACAATGGAAAACAAGTTGGAAAGAGCAGTTCAACCTAAGTGCAGACCTTCTGAGGTTCCTGCAAGGTCCCAGGTGATCCATCATGCAATATTTACTTCATATTTTGCCATTCCAAGGCCACAACATTTGCACAGCATCAGTTACTTGTCGACAAACTCTCCCTCGTTTGACATGCAGTTGAGAACAAGAGTTCCAAAATGTGTACTATACTGCACAAAAGCAAAGTGTAATCATAAAAACTCTTATGCGACCTTTTGGTTTTTGTGCATTTGTGGCATCTTTTAAAGCTTCACCACTAGCAAAAATCTATATGAAATTATTATTTTCTGTAATGGCATTGTTCCAAAGTACTTCCGTTAGTTTACAAGTACCAATATACACTATGAAGAGAGGGTAATCAGTTGGCAACAAACTGGTGTGTTAAGAAATTCCTAACTCAAACACATAGAACTTGAATAATATGTTATAGAAAGTACCTCAAGCATATCAGATACCCCAACCTCTTGAAGATCCCAATCATCAGACCTAGATTTTTGATCCATAGAGCCACAACCCTGCATTAGAGCACATGCATCAGTTCTCACATGCCACATGGCAACCTAGATCTAGACAGATTCAGATATGCTACTTGAGAATTGAAATATAATGATATAATAACTAAATGGGAATTAATCAAACAATGTAGCATAAATATCCAATAAGAAAAATAAAAGATAACATCAGTCAAGGTAAAGTTCATATCGATGATGCATACAATTTTCTTGTCCTCCAAGATAGCAAAAACATAACAGAACACATACTGCAGGAAATAGGAAGAAGATTTTGACCCAACAAACATAGTAGGTTATCTTGTCATGATGTGCAATGCTTCAAACCTTGAGTATATCATCTTCCAGCTTGGTAATCAATCTCTGCTGTTCATTAACCTTTGCAAGGAGCTCATCTTCCTTAGCTTCAGCAGCCTCAACAGCACTCGTCTTTTCAGAAAGTTTTACCTTGTCCCAAAAATGTTAAGAGATTATGAAAGAAGAAGCAACATAAAGTTCAAGGTATCTCTTAAAAAATAAAAGATCAAAAAATAAGTACAAAAAGAAAGTTGTTGCATATCAAAAACTCATCTGAAACACAAGAAGCAGGTAAATGAGGAGGCAAACATTGAAATTAGAAACTCAGTTCACCATCTACCTTCAACTGAGTGAGTTCATGTTCCATTTTTCGGTTCTTGTCAAGTAACAAAGACTCCAATTTGCTCAATTCCTCTCCACTAGTAGCCACTTCCCAATCTTCAGCCTCTATGGAATTATATCCAACCGCCTATAAACACATAGTTGAAATGGTCTAATTCCCCTAAAGAAGATGCAACAAACAATGATACAAGAGACCCATGATACATAGGAACTTGGCCCATTTAGAAATGGAAAAAGTTTATATAAGGTTGACACCTTAAAAGGTAAATTAAGGTGCACCACTAAAATCCTTCGAAAAATGTTGATTTGATGTTGAGAAAGCATCTAATTGAATATCTCAACATCGAGATGTATAAAATATGCAGAAACAAAGAGATTTCAAGTCCTAAAAATAACATTTCTTGCGACACATTATCTGGACTGTCCATTTTCAAGATTTTCATGCATTTATAGATTTGCTTGATTTGAACCATTTTTAGAATTTAAAATTTTATAATTAGAGATAAAATAGATTCTCACACCATCATATGAATTTTTGACACATCTCATGACAAAGTTAGGGGGTGCACCTTAATTTGATTGTTTAAGGTTGCAACCTTATGTAAATCACGCCCTTTAGAAATTGGCCAGCAGAAGTATAATACAGTTTTGCATATGGGGGAGAGAGATTCATATGCATGTAGCATCCGTGATTGTTTTTTATGTGATGCAGAAGAGTGTTCACGAACTAAAAATCCTATTCCAGATTAATAACTATCAAAAAATTGCATCCACATGTCCTAAGAAAAATAACATTAAACACATACTCAAGATCGTTTAACAACATACAAATGACCAGGACAGGCATAGTGAGAAGATAATCAATTACAAACCTCAATTACAACAAATCAAACATCCACTGAAGTACATGGAAGACGAAGACAAACACCATATGATTTCCATAGAGAAGACAAAAAGATCAAAATATATATAAAACAAAGGTTTATTTGTACATAATTGTTGACTATAAGGCTTTTCAAGGCCTTAATGCCAAGAGTCTATCGCTTAGTGGGAGTGAGTAAGCGAGATAGAATCTGGGTGCTTGGCAAACTGGGGCCCAAATTCTCATACCCTGAGTATATGAGGTACTGAAAGCTTACATTTTGAGAGAACTATCTCTCAAGGAGAAGGGTCACCTCTAAGTTAGGAATATATATTAGAATGCATCTTGTTTGATGTGATTAGCCAGGGCTTGGAGAATCCAATCAAGTACAATAGAACCCGAGTGTTTCTTAAGAATTGGCCCTGTATGGAATGGTCAAGACTTATGGGATATGAGTTTGTACCTTGATACGAAACTATTCCATGGCATATGCATTTAATTCACGTGAGAAGCCACTCTTCTATAGTGTTACCCGACATAGAAGAGCCAATGTACATGTGCTTGGGGAGGACCCCTATATTAGAGTAGCAATGTGTCCCACAGGGGTGCAACTATAATCCATTGAGAAGTCGATGATGGAAAGCTCTGCCTCAGTGACTTTGATGTGACCAATAATGCGTCCTTACCATAGACTGTGGAGCATAGGTCCATGAGACACGGTGAAACATCATTCAGAACTAGCCCAATGGATTACTCTGATACCTAGTGTTAAAGTCAAGAGATCTCATTTACCATTGGTCTTTTTTTTATTTTATTTTGATGAGAAATGATGTGTTAATGTTTAAACATGTTTTATTGATTTATTGGAATTTTTTAAGAAATGTTTGGACTTTTTAAAGCACCAAAAAATGAGTTTTTCAAATTTGTTTGGAACAAATTCCATATGAGGACATTTATGTGGATGCCATGTGGCACTTGAGTGGCCATAGGGTGGCCTCGTGGTACCCATGGGCCCCACACACTGGCCCCATTATTTGAGCGTTGTTACCTAGGCGTGGAGGGCCTTTGTGGTATTTGTTATTTTGCTGTGTAATTTCAAAGCTTATGTTATGTGTTATTTCAAGTGTTACATAATGTATTGAAGTGTATATTTTGTCGCATGTTTATTTGATCCCACATTTGACATGCTTGGCATGTGTCAGACCAAGCTATTTTCAAATTGATTTGAATTTATTTGAATTTTAAAATTCATTTCCACATAGGATTCTTTCACATGTGTGAAGAAGCCATGTAGTGTGGTCCCATTAATAAAAGCATGTAACGAGCTTGGTTTATTTGAATTTGATTGGTTCATTGCCATAAGATATTTTCCCACACGTGGGTATTGCTCTTTACCAAATGACCTTGCCTTTATTCATTAACTAGACTAATAAATTTATTTAAAACCGTGGGCTTTTATGTCAACTCTATTTTGGACTTAATTGGAATTTAAGTATGGGACTAAGGACCAAAGGGTAAAATGTCTTGACCTAAGGGTTTAATGGAGTGAATAAGGAGTTAAATCTCATCCCCACATCTTGGTGATTAGATGGGGATTGGTGGCTAGGATTAAGCCTCTCATGTTCCATAGATCTTAGGGCATCAAGGGCTAAGATCACTTCTCCCCTATGATCTTCTATAAAAGTCACTTAAGGTTCATTTCTAACCTAATTGCATTCGCCTCAGTTTTAATTGCATTCGCCTCTGTTTTCAAAGCTAAGAGAGAGAGAGAGAGAGAGAGAGAGAGAGAGAGAGAGACCATTTGAGAAAAACGTTCCACCACGTTTTTTTGCCTTCATTTTCAGCCTTAAGCTTTTAGCTTATGCACTTTCATGGCGTGGTCCTTCCTTTATCAAGATCAAGTCATGCTTAAGGAATTTGGTTATTGTTCTTCTATCTCCATTTCCACTTCATTTTCATGATCTTTGCTTGCTGTAATTTACAATTTACAGTAGCTTCTTCCATATTTTAACCTTCCATACTTGATCATTAAAGTGCTCTAAGTGAATAGTGTAGTCTATGCACCAAGCATGTGTCGAGTAGTTTGTGTTTTCAATGATCTAGACTACTTCTACTCCTATTTTCTTAATCCAATTTTTTGGAATTATCATCATATTTATTCTGATCAGAGATGATAAACATCATATTTGAGTATCTCAGATAGGTCTGTCGTCTCTCTTTTAAACCTTGAAAAGTTCGGGTGTTCCCTCTTGGACTACATTGTCTTGTTTCTCCATATCTTGCTTGTTTTGTGTGATCTCTCTCTCATAGTTTGAAAAGCTGATTTCATATTCACCTCTCTCATTATTTTAACCTTATTAAGTGAATTTAATGTGATTATAAGCTTCCCCTTGAATTGATCTCCTTGAGCTATAAAATCACCCGTGCCCTAGACTATGGGACAACACTAAGTCCCTAAAAGGTCCAATTGTTACCCGAGTTATTGTGACCCGGGCATGTAGGGTTCGAACCATTGGTTTTCCCATATTATTTTGGCACTCTAACTCACTCATTTTATGTCTTCTATGGTCTGAAATAGTTCTTGAAATGCTCATGTCATGTATTTGAATTATTTGGGAGCATATGTTCATTGGTTGTAAATGTCATGATAAGTGACATAGTTTTGTTTCATTGTTGAAGATATGACATAGTTTTGCTTCATTGTTGAAGATATGCATTGAGCTCCATAATGGAACTGTTATTGAGTTGTTTTTAAGTGATATTCAAGTCTTGAGGTGTTCTTGTAATTCATTTGAGTGGTTGTAATTGTATTATCTTGCTTGTGCAACACCGCTTTGTTAAATTCAAAAGTTGTATGTAATTTCAGTTTTGCTTTAAAGACCATCCTAGACCTCTATATCATATCAATAATAACCTGCATAGAAGGTAAATGGTAAACCATGCTTCAAAAGAATTACTGAGAAACATAAACTCAAACGGAGAAATGTTACACATAGAGACACATTGAGATACATAAATCATGTCAAAAAATAGAGAGAGAGAGAGAGGGATAAGAGATCTACAAGCCAGGCCTCCATTAGGCCCACATCTAAAGAAGGCCAGGTACATGGCAACTTAGTTATCAAATTAGCTTCCCTAGCATACCAAGTATCTCTGGAACAAAGGACAATTAGTACTTGTTTGAAAACTCGCTCAAGTTAACTTGTATTGGGTGAGTTGCTCGGCCTCAGCAGCCAGATGAGGCCAGAATAATTTACATAACGCAAGTACTGTAGAGTCAGTTTCACAACACTTGAACTGTACAAACTTTCCCGAGTAATGTTCATGTATATGTAATATAAAAGGTTGTGGAAATCTGCCCCCCTTTTTCTTGTTCATTTTTTTTCAATTATGAGCCGATGCTACTAACAGGGTACCTAGGCATCCCTCTCCTCTCCTCCCTCCCTCCTCCTCTCTCCCCCCCCCCCCACCTCCCCCCCCACAGCTCCCTATCTCTCTCTCATTCTCGCATCTTCCAGCCACTTGAAAGCTTGATGCAAATCTCTCACTGAGATGAAGTTTTCTTATAGTGCGACACCAGAAAATTTCACATGCTTTCCAATAAATCCTTGAAAAGTTAATCCCCTTCTATTGGCAGAAATCTCACATTGATTCAAAACCCTGACATTACAAACAAGCTCGGACACAATCATTATCCCCAACATACTGATCCTAGATCTAAACTTTGAAGCAAAATCGTGATGGAATGAGGAATACTGGCGATCACTGAATCGATTAGGGCTAATGACCATTGCAGGCATCCATCGAATCAGTTCCGACAAATGAACCTTTAGAACAGATTCATTGATTGCAGGTGAGGCAAGGGTGGGGGATGCAATAAGCAAAATTCTAGGAGAAGCAGGCTTACAGTTTCTAAACACAATCTGATTAAATGATTAACAAGTATTCAAAAATAAAATTTTTTGAACAATTAACAGAGGTGAAACCAAGGTTAGGGTTTCGAAAGCCATCTTCTAGTTATTTTTTTCTTTGTTCATCATTTTTTTTATTTTGTCCCCGTTTTCCCAATTTTTCTTCTGTTGTTTTTTTGGATCTTCCCTTATTTCTGTGCTTTTCTTGGCCATTTCAAACTCGATGCACACTCCGGTGAGTCAACTGGAGTAGACTAGTAACTTGGCCCAACCAGGAACGAGCTGAGTCAATTTTTCCATCACTGACAGATATCGCTAATAAAAGGAAGGATCTACTCTTCCAAACAATTGCATTGAAAGTGAAGATCTTCAATGGCAGAATCCAGTTCCTAAATCCAGCTTTAAACATGCCAACAATCTAATTTCCACTGGCCCTACTCATTCCTGCAGCAGGAACCACTAACCTGAACAGACATCCAGCCAGTTCCCAGAGAATAACAAAAACAATAATCCTTCAAATTACTTCAGTACATGGAAATTCTTCCATGGTGAAGCGGGGAAGGAGTGAAAGCAACCAGAAAAGTTGAGAAATTTTTGGCAGATACCATTAAGTGAATATTGTCTCAGTGAAACCAAAGAGGTACTTCTAAAAACCTAAAGAGCGGGTGATGATCTGCCAACCAGTTGGCGAAGGAAGAAATAGTTGCAAGTGCAATACAGATAAACAACCCGCAGCAATCTCTGCCCCTCCATGGAGATGCCCACTCCCTTATCACTTGCTTAAAATTTCATCTTTCCTACTTCCTTCTTTTCCCTTACCCCTATATAAATCTTCATTCAAGTAATCTTAGAGCACAAGCTGATATGCATCTCCTCAAGTCCTCGTACTATGTTTATTATCAAAGAAAAAAGAACAAGTGATTCCAAGCCCAACCTCATAGATATAACACCCCCCCCCTCCCCAAAAAAAATAATAATAAAATAAAAATAAAATAAAGCAAAAGAGAAACTCATTATACTTTTCAGTGAAACCAGAATCTGATCCTTGAAACTACAGATGTGTTACCAGACCAAATCACTACTTCAACTGCACTTTGGAGAACTAGACCTAATGCCATCTTAATTTTTCAAACATAAATTCATAGCGATCAAAAGGGAAATACTATCTGAGAGGTATGATCAGATAGGTTCCAGTGCTACCCTACCTACTACAACTGAATGTGGTAATCATTGTTTATTGAGAGAAAATAAAAACACCGTTAGATGATCAGGTTGTAACTCGGCAAACCTGAACATTCCTCGCTTCCTTTTATACACTTATAAGGCGAAAAAGAAATGACATAAGGAAATAGCAAAATGTTACTCATTCCCTTGTGGGTCCCCACAACTCGGGAAAAACAAAACAAAATATGGGAATTAGAGACTTGAAGTTTTAGGTTTTCAAGAAAATACCAAAACCTCTTCCCAAGTGACAAAATGAATACTCACTAAAAAAATGTGTTATACAAACTATAGCTGAAGAACACAAAAAGGGGGAATAGGAGGATGAAAATGAAGAAACAACCATGACAAAGCCTGCTCAAACAAGCACATGGTGTTCATGATGTCAAAATTCTACAACTTTGTGATGAGAATATAAGACTTCTGTCCAAAGCATTTAACTTACAAGATGAATCTTACTAATTCCTGACGATTATTTAAGGTAATCAATTTTTTTCTGATTCAATGCGAATCACCGCTTTCTACAAGCTTGATATTTTGACAGCCAAGGCCCGTCAGAATAAACACTTTGTCCCCCACTTGATTGGCATGCATGACACCAAAAATAATCCTTATAAAAGAGTCGATTCTGAATTGACATTCCACAGAACCTAGTGGCATTGAACATTTAAACTCAATCTCAGACAACAAGATCAAATCCAAAGCTTAACTCAAAAAGACAAGGGAAACAAGCACTAATATTAAAAGCCTTCCAGTGGGGAACAGGCATTATACATGAAGTCCGGACACATTTGGGTGAATTGATGTCCAGACACATAAAAATTAATAGACATCTGCAAGAAAGTACCCCAAAATATGATCAAACACGATGAGATGGGAATTTGATGAAAAAGGTACATCAGCTTGGGTAGTTAACCACGACTTAGTGTCCTAGACTCATGGAGCCACCCATGAATGATGGGGATTCGATGAAAAAGTTGTCAGCTCAGGTAGTCAACCATGACTTAATCTGTTCTAGACTAATGGAGCCACCCGTGAATGATGGAGGACAAAACCCTGTAGTACATGAGCATACATATTGCAGTGCATATATGAACACAAAATTATGGGGATACTCCTCACCATCAAAGGTGAAGTCATATTCAGTACGTCAATAAGTTCATAAAGCTATAACATGTATCAAAATCAAATTGCTGCGAAAAAGAATATCATAAGAACAAATAAGATCATACAACAATTCAAGCCAGCGAAAGTTGTAGCAAGTAAAGAGAAATATAACATAATGATAGAACTGATTTATACTTACCCAAAAGAAAAAAATAATTTACATTTCTTGCAAGTACAAGTGCTTAAAATATGGTGACTGAAATTTTATTGAAGCAGCCCCAAAAGAAAACCCACAAAGAGAAAAATACAGCGACCTGCAATATTTTCACTTGCTTTCGCAAATCTTCAACTTGTTTCGCAGTTGGCCTTCCTTGAAGCTCCTTTTTTATCTCCCCCAGTTCAATGTCCTGTAGATGAATTTATGACAATGCAATACAAAACCTTTGGATCAATCTATTCATCGGGGATCTCTGAGAAAAGAATTTGTTCAACAAAATGAACGACCAATGGCAACTTACCTAAATCATGTACAAAGTATTTTGACAAATACAATAGAACCAACTATAATGTTTCATATAAGACTACTGAAAAGAAAAAAAAACAATTCTGATCTATAGGTAAATATACGATAGAAAAGAAGAGAGAAATAGTGATAAACATAACTTCACGATAAAAAAGCAAAGGTAGAGTAACCCAAAAGGTAGAACAACCCAAGGTGCCCAACAAAATGAGAGTAGAAAACAGCTCTTTAACATAGTTATAAGAATCTGCCAATCCAGGAGGCGATTCCACTTCAGAATCTCGCTCTCGCCCTCTGAACAAGGGATCTTCACATAATCTTGGTTTTTTAGTTTACTCCCTACAACTTAGAAATCTAGATTTTGAGTTATTAAGAATAAAAATTTATCATCATCATCAACAAAGCCTTTTTCCAACTAAGCTACACAAATCCTGGTCAAAATTCTAGAACATCAAATCCCATATTTCATTGGTGCAATGAAATATGGGTTCAAGGTTATTGATACATGAAACCAAGATTCAAATGCAAACTTCAAAAGTAATCGAATAATTCTTATGTGACGATAAAATTTATTTTCAAATTTATGTGATGATAAACCATGAAATAGTATTCTTTGTTGCATCATTGTATAAACCCTTTTTTAAAAGAATACTATTTCATGGATTTTCTAAAATACAATTTGAAGCACACTATTCTTTAAAATTTATTTTCAAATTAATAAAAAATTGCACATTGTTTATTCAACGAAGTAAGGATCGGTGTCTAGAAAACCCCAATCCTAAATTCCCAATAGTAGGGGAACCCCAAATAAATGCCTTTTTTTAAAAAAATTAGTATTAATTAATTCATTGTATTTTTTTTATTCAACAAAGAATGATGACATGTCTAGAAACTCATATTAACTTCAATTCCGATACTTACGGAACCCTTGTTAAGGGCACTCGAGAACCTTGATTCTAATACTTGTGGAGAACACTAATTAAGAGCACTCAATACATTGATTTCAATACCAGGGAAGCCCTTGTTCAGGACAGTCAAGCACCTGGATTCCAAAATTAAGGGAACCCTGATCAAGGGCACTAAATACATCAATTTCAATATAACTAAGGGATTGTCGGTTAAGGATACTCTAGAACCTCGAACTTTTGGCTATATGGAACCCCATCCTTAATAATTTCTTTTGCGGCCCCAAATGGTCAAGAGCACAACTCCAAAAAGGTTAAGATCCCATAAAGAAGAACCTAGATGACTGAGCGAAAACTTCTCTTCATCTTTCCTGAATTTCTATAACATGTGATAGGAGTCCAACAGCTCCCATGGCAGTCACTCATCTAGCACTATTCTTGCAAAACCATGTAACGTCATGTACTTGAAATGGCTTCCCCAAAGATCACTCAAGTAGTACTATTCTTTCAAAAGTGTATCTGTTCTTGTATATGCATATGAATAGCTGAACCTTTTCATTGCTCATGGAAGATCAAGTTATTCGCAGTATAGATTCCACTTGGGCTAAGTTGGTCATTAAAATATCATCTAGATCATATGGCTAATTGTAGAATCCATGGTAAAATTTTGACTATATAAACAAGACACAGTGCTGAATGTAAACAAGCAGGGCATTGTACCAACAAGCACCAAAGTAAGCAGTAATATCCAAGTTTGAGTGACCAAAAGGAAGAATCCTTCTTCGTAAACTTGCCTTGATAAACCTGAGTCATGAAAACAGCTATGTCTAGCATCCTAGTATCATGCATCAACAATGCTAATATCAAGTCAACTATGGCCTATTTAATAAGCCTCAACACATCATAAAAAAACGATCTTCAAGGATCCTCTCGTTTCTTTGGTGCATGAATCCTTGCTCTTCAGCCAACACATATGGAAAAGCCCTTAGATGCTCCCCTTTATGGAGGGCATCATTACATGTGTTGAGAAACCTTCTTTGCAATAAGTCACTTCAATCTCAAAGAAAAAGTATATGGCCTCATGATCTCTTTTCCTTCCTTTGCGAAGAAATAGCCCCATGATCTTCAATATCAAAGTCCTTTAAATTCCAAATTAGTTTTAATTTTATATGTTTATGACAAATGCTTATACCATGTGATCACCATGATATTAATTTACGCAAGAAGCGTAGACATTCCCAAAAGTGCTAAATAAACATGATATCATCAGAAGAAGCCTTCCCAAAACCAACACCTCCAATCGCATGCCTCAACATTGCAAACCAAACCCGAGGATCTCGTTTTAGGATATATAGAGCATCCCAAGTCTTCACACAATTAAAGTAAGAACAAAAGAAACAGAAAAGGCAGTTAATAACTGGCTGTTCTCTTAGCACCCTATTTGGGAGATCATTCTTGATGCCAGGTTGAAAGTAGCTAGTTCATTATTAAAAACATGGCAAGCCTCATGGTTTGCATATTGGCAATATGATGCAGACCATTTCCTAAAGTGCAACTTTTAATCCCGATGTTCATTTGGGGCTACAAATAACTCAATTCAAATATCTCTTTAAAATTTATTACACTGGTTCATATAGGTTTTTTCTAATTCAGTCATCTCGATCCCAAATGCTGCTCAGGAGTATGGTGACAAAGTTAGTAACAAATCTTATGTTTAATCAGGGTTTCAAATGCAATTAGAAGTCTAAGTCAAACCCAAAGGTATTACAATGGCCTAGTTAGTACATTGACCTTAAAATTACAGAAATGTAATCACAAACTCTTAGAGTTGAATTTACCAACTTATGGGCTAGTGTCCTGATTCAAAAGCCTTGCAAAATGTGTATAGAGACATGTATCCAGTGAAATTAAGACCAGACAGGACCAGCTGGGAGGACCAGTGGTCCCACTGATCAGGCCGGGGGTCCTGAACAGGTCATACATGTGAACAAGCGTTGTACCAATGAATCTTTATTTCAATGCCTGGACAAGCTAGATCATTCCCAACCAATCCGACCTGTCCCAAACAAAAAGGAATCCCTTCATGAAATTGACAACCTAAAGCTCTCAGATGAAATGAGAGCTCACACCTAAACTGAACATACCAAGAGACAATGAATCAAAGCCAACTACTTATGTTCTCAAATAAGAAGAGAACCATCTGGCACCAGCAGTCCAGAGTCAAATGGCTGAAACTGAGAGAAACGGATACAACCTTCTTCCACAAACTCGCAAACTGAGACAGAGACAATTCCACTACCCACATCAAAGTGGGTGAGTAAATGCTTCAACAAAACCAATGCAAATGCCACAGCCATTGTCTCTTTCAAAAATGTTCTCGGCCACAAACACCCCCCTCCCACATCTGGCTAAGCTAGCCTTCTTGAGGCTACCAAATAGAAATGCCCTTTGGCTCAAAGGACCATTCTCAAGGCTAAATTCTTCAAGCAATTTCTGACTAGGTCATGGCAAAGCCCCAAGGCCAGATGGCTACACCATCTTCAACAAATTCTGAGATGCTATGGCATTTGATATTTTTTCCTTCAGTTCCACCACCAGACCAAAGTTCACAGGGGCATGAATGCCACCTTTATTGCCCTAGTCCCGAAAATTGAAGGTGAGGAACAAATCAAGGATTTCTGACCCATCAGGATGCTTACTTCCTCTTACAAATTTGTAGACAAATTCTTAAACTCAATACCTTAGGAAATCCTAGAATATGTCATCTCTCCTACCCTGAAAGTAGTGGCCATATAGGATTCTACAGGCGTTCAAAAAAAAATATTTTCCTTCTACTAACAACCCGGTGATTTACTTACAATGCCAACTTGTACAGAAGAAGCAGAAAAATAAAACCTACATACAAACTATGGATCTTAATTCTTACTGCCTTAAAGAAAAAAATAACTCACAAACTGAATTCAATTACAAGTAGAATTCTAAGTCAAATAGGAATTCTAATTCAAATAGGAATCCTAATCAAGAACTGTAAAGTGAGAATTAAATTGAAAATAAACAAGAAAATCTAAGAAGACCGCAACTTTGCCTAGGGTCACCCCCTAGGACTTAGCACAACTCACACCTAATTACCATACCGAGGACGCACTAAACCTTGGTCCAACTTGATTCCTTCAAATCTAGAAAGCACCTATGGCAATACCGTCTCACAAGACTGGGGAGTTTTGGGCTGAGAGCATGAACATGAAACCAGTGGGTATCCTTTCAACCTAAAATTAGGATGGTGCCTCATTGTGGCAACTCTGAACCACACAACTCACTAGACTGGACGTGCCTCCTCTCAGGGTAGCCAAGGTTGCGTGCCACCTTCTTATGCACATACTTATGGAGAGAGAGAGAGAGAAAGAGAGATGGGGCATGGAGGAGAGACAAGAAGAGAGAGAGAGGTATCAGAAGCTGGGATGATGGGAATGAGGGAAACCCCCCTCTTTATAGCCCTTCAGGGCCTAGGGCATGCCATGTTCCAATAGGAAATCAAATTTGACCAAGGAATCCTAGGTACTATGTTAGTTGAAGAGAATTAAATCTGAGCCATCCATTTCTTAGATCAGCCATTGTGATCAAGGAGAAACCCTAGAAGCATTATCCCTCAGATCCTTGACTCATTCACTTATATTCAAAGTAGAATTAGATCTTCCTTAGTCCCACATAATTAGGACTTTCCCACATAATTAGGACTCTTTCTCTCATAGAAATACTTTTAATTTCATTAGCAATTCAAAGTCAAATGTAGAAGATCTAACTCAAACTAAATTTCAAAAGTCAAATATTCTCATAACCAACTAAATCTTTTATTAAAGATTTCCTTTAAGAAAATTGTCCATAACAAATAGTGTAAAGATATGGAGCGTCCCACTCAATGGGTTGGACGTATGGGCTTAGTGGGGCCCCAAACGTGCGGGGAGTCGGCCCTTGGCCCCCCAAT